TTATTTTTGTGACGAAGATTAGTCCTGAGCTAACATCCGTTCCCAATCCTCCTCTTTTTGCCGAGGAAGATTGGCCCTGGGCTAACATCCGTGCCCATCTTCCTCTATTTTATATGGGACACCATCACAGCATGACTTGACAAGCCGTGCATCAGTGCACGCCCGGGATCCGAACCTGCGAACCCCAGGCCACCACAGTGGAGCGCGTGCTCTTAACCACTGCGCCACCGGGTGGGCCCCGTACATTCAGCAAAATTTACGTCAAGACTAAAGGGGGAAATCAAGACATTCTCAGATGAAGGATCACTAATATAATTTGTCACCAGCAAACCTAACCTAAAAATAAAAAGGCTAAACGAGGATGTCTTCACAGAGAGGAAATGGTAACAGAAAGAATCTTGGAACATCAGGAAGGAATAACAATGGAAAGAGTAAAAATATGGATACAGGAGACTTTCCTTCTCTTGAGTATTTTAATTATGTTTGACGAAGCAAAACTTCTAACCCTGTTGAATGTGGTTGTCAATGTATGTGGAGGAAATATTTAAGGTTATTATAACCAGGAGAGGGTAAAGGGAGGTAACGTTTCTACACTTCGTTCAAACTGACAAAATGTCGATACAAGTGAACTGTGACAAGTACAGTGTGTAATGTAACACTTGGACAACCCCTTCAAAGGCTGTGCAATGTAATATACTCAAAAACAATATAGACAGGTCAAACTGGACTTCTAAAAAATGTTCCAGTAACCCACAGGAGGGAAAGAAAAAGAAAACAAAAATGAAAAACGGAATAAAACAAAAATTAAATGGCAGACAGAAGTCATAAGGAAAGTTTTAAGTCTCATCAAATGTATAATCTAGCTTGATTTCCCAGATGGCGCTCCCTCTTCTGTGCTCTCACAGAATCCCACAGACACGTCTCTCGTCGCTAGTATGACGTTGCGTTGTCATTGTGTATTTACTCATTTGCCTCTTGTACCAGCTGGAGTCTCTTAAGGATGGAATTGTGTTTCCGTGTTTGGGAAGCCCCAATAAAGTATAGCCCAATATAGCCTAATAAAGTGCTCTTTCAATGACTGGGGCCTGGGAAAGATGAGGACTGCAATGGATTTAAAGATGTTGAATGTAAAAAAACTCCATGAGTCCATAATAGAAGAGAGTCCTTAAAAGAAAAAGTCCCTCTCCACCCCCCCCAAAAAAAACCCCAAATCAATCCTAATATGTTACCATTGGATGTTGTTATTGCACCAAATTCTTAGTCTGAAGTTGATAATTAAGGGGAAGGAATTCCCCTTAATTTTTTTTTTTTTTTTTTTTTAGTATTTCAGGATAACCAAGTAGCCCTAGCCAATGAGGTAAAGCTCTTCTTTACAGAAAAATTCCAGCTAGTGTAGAAGGATTAACAGAGTTAGAAAATAACCATTTGTAACTCCCAATTAAATACTTGGTTGAGGCAAGGACTATCAAGGATGCTAAAGTCATTAGCTGACAGGTGGGTGTGATGTGAAGTTGGGTATTTGCATGGTGCCAAAGAATCACCTCCCGTAAACCACCCAATGTCCCTCAACTAGTAAATGGATAAACACACTGGTGCATCTACACAGGGGAATACACTCAGCAATAAAAAGTATTGAGCAGATAAGCATGACAACATGGATGGATCTCAAATGCATTATGCTAAGAGAAAGAAACCAGACTCAAAAGTCTACTTACTAAAGATTCTATTTATACGATATTATGGAGAAGGCAAAAACTATAGGGACAAAGCAGATCAGTGGTTGCCAGGTGGTAGGGTGGAAATGTTGACTACAAAGGTACATGGGCAAATTTTGGGGGGTGATGGAAAATGTTTTATCTCTTGATTGTGACAATGGTTACATGAGTACATGTATTTGTCAAAACTCGCACTCTAAAAAGGGCGAATTTTACTGTATGTAAATTACACCTTAATTTAAACAAACAAAAAGGCCGACAAAACAAAGAAGTCCCCCCACAGATTACTTAGTGGTCACAAGGTGTGAAACATACCTTTACAACACAGAGGTCTGGCTGTCACACCTTGCCTGTGATCTATTTCAGCCTCACTACAGTGGGACAGCCAGAAGCTGGGTGCCTCCTAATGTGAGGCAGTCTGGAGTACAGAGCTGCACCTAGGAGGTGTCCTTGCAGATAATAGCCAGGGCTTCAGATCTGATTCCCAGTGTGCAGGAAAACCACAGACAGAGGAACAAGTTAACAACACCTTTCAGCCAAATCCAGAATGTGATAGGGCATCTCAAAGGGCAACTGGCTTGGACTCTTAGGTCAGTATCATGAAAACCAAAAAAGAGGTGAGGTGGGTAGGAGGTGGGGCAGGTAATTCCATCTAGATTAAAAATGATTAAAGAGGGCCAGCCCCGTGGCTTAGTGGTTAAGTGTGCGTGCTCCACTACTGGCGGCCCGGGTTCGGATCCCAGGCGCGCACCGACGCACCGCTTCTCTGGCCATGCTGAGGCCACGTCCCACATACAGCAACTAGAAGGATGTACAGCTATGACATACAACTATCTACTGGGGCTGTGGGGAAATAAAGGAGGAGGATTGGCAATAGATGTTAGCTCAGAGCTGGTCTTCCTCAGCAAAAAGAGGAGGATTAGCACGGATGTTAGCTCAGGGCTGATCTCCCTCACAAAAAAAAAAAAAAAAGATTAGAGAGACATATAATCCTTGATTGGACTCTGCCTTGAACAAACCAGCTATAAAAGACATTTTGGGGACCATTAGGGAAATTTGATTGTGGACTAGGTGTTAGATATTAAAAAATTATTGTTAACTTTATTAGGTATGATAAAGGTATTGTGGCTTTGTAGGAAACTGCTTTTTAGAGATGCATGCTGACGTATTAGGGATGAAATATCATAATTTGTCTAATTTACTTTAAAATACTTCTGTCAAAATAAATGAATAAATAGATGAAGCGGGGAGGAAGCAGAAGTAGTATGAAGGGGCAAATCAGGGCCACTGGTCAGGCTCAGTGCCTGCTACACGTGCAGACTCCTTACAGAGGCCTGCCGAGGCCACCGGGCCTGACCTTGCTTGTGTGTCTGTCCTCACCCCCCAACACGCCCCCTAGCTACACTCCAGCCACACAGGCTTTCTTTCAGTGGGCAATCACTTGCCCACCTCCAGGCCTTTGTACTGGCCGTCCCTTCCACCTGGCATGTTGTCTTGTCCCCATTCTTTGCCAGCTAGCTCCTTCTGAGGTCTTAGCCTAAATGTCACGGCAGAGAGACCCTCCCCCACAGAACCACCTGAAGTGGGTTCTGCTTCTAGGCCTCTGTTTTTTGTTGCTTGGCCGCACTTGCCACCCGGCAGGTGGTGATGATGTTTCTGTGTTTATATGTTACGCCTGACCGTGCACTGATACTCAGGGCCACCCCCGGGTCCCCAGGGCGTGCGTTTATCACGCACCTGTGCGCTCCCTGCGCACATCTGCAGGCGCCTCTGCATTGGGAAGTTGTTGGTGTTTCGTGCCGGGAGTGCCTACCCTGGCCCGGACTAGCCAAGTGACTTCCCCCAACCACAAACACCGCTACAACCCGGGACCTCAGACCTGACTCCGGACAGGCCGGCGCCGGGCAGCAGGAAGCCAGGTTCCTCCGCTGCCTCCCAGCCGGGTGACTGCCCCAAAGCCTTTCCCACACTCCGGACACTCTAGCTTGGGGACGCCACCCCGAAAGGCCTCTGCCACCTGCCTGAAGAACTACACTTCCCAGCAGGCGCTGGAGCAGCGACCACAGCTCCCAGCGTGCTCTTAGCGCGCTCCGCCCCTGGCATCACCCCTGAGCGGCTGCCGGCGGGCCCGGAGCCGCGCGGGGCGCAGGTACCCTGGGGCGAGGACGGGCAGCGGAGGAGTGTGCAGCAAAGCTGAGGAGAGGATGGGATTGGGGGGCCTTGGGGAGGAAGGGAGCCAGGGTGAACCGGGGACAGGCGGCGGGGCTGAGGGGCGGGGGCCAGGAAGCGGGCCGCAGAGCGCCCGCCCCTCGCGAAATTAGGAATCTAGACATGCACCCTTCCCGAAAAACAAACTCTTTCTGGTGCCAGGCCCCAGGCGGCGCTGAGGTGGGGAACGGGGGTAAAGGAGTCGGCCCTGGCTAAATGCCCCCCCTCTGCTCGACACACACCTTCGCCTTCGATCCCGCAACGTCCTGGGGGGAGAGGAAAGTGACAAACTACCAGACCAGGTGAGGGGGCGAGGGTGAGGGGGTGGAGTATGCTAACCTCGGACCGAGGCGCTGACGTGGGCATTTCCTAGCCCCCCCCCCGCCCCCCACTATGGGCTGGAGCTCGGGGAGCATTTCCTGGCGCCCCTGTCCTCCTGCCTCAGAGCCATGTGGACCTGGCTCCAGCACCTGGAGATGTACCTGGAGACACCTGCACTCCCTCCTCCTTGTCCTGGCTCCCGTGGGACCAGAGGGTGGTGGCTGAGCCTCCCAGCGTTAGTTTTCCCAGCTCCCGTCTCCCAGGCGGGGTCAGGTTCATTGTCTCATCCCGGTGGCAACAGATGCAGGCCTGGTTCTCTGCGGAGGTGGGGGGGGGCGTGCTGGAGGGCTGTGATGAAAGAGCAGAGCTTCCACTCTGGGGTGGGAGTGGAGGTAGAGGTGAATAACAGACAGTAAGATAATTTCAGATCCTGGGAGTACCATGAGGAAAAGAAAACGTGGGTATGGGTGTGGGTGGAGGGATGCTACCTTAGATAGGGTGGTCAGGGAGGGCCTCTCTCAAGTGTTCCCAGACTGAGGGGACAGCAGGGGCGAAGGTGTGAGGGTGAGAAGAAGAGCAATGTGTTTGGAGCAAGTGAGTGAGGGGGACCCTGGGAGGATATGAGATGACAGTATGGGCCCAGGAAGGATCTAGACTTTATTCTAAAAGTAGTAAGGGTTCGTGGAAGCCCATGGAAGGTGTTAATGATCAAGACAGAGTCACACTTACCCAAAGCCCATGGAAGGTGTTAATGATCAAGACAGAGTCACACTTACCCAGCCTGAGCTCCCCTGTGCCCTGGGCTTTCCCAGCATTTTCAGGTGGGGGTCAGGGGCTGTGGCCAGGCCAGCTGACTTTCCTGCCAACACCAGCTGGCCATGGCCCCCTCTGACCCTCAGGGTTCTCCTCTGTAAAATGGGGGTGGTAATTCTTACCTCACAAGGTGTGCTGGCCCAACCTGCTGTCATCCTCCCCCGACAGGGCCTGGCCACCCCTCCCACAGAATGCCTGAGGGCCCTGAGCTGCATCTGGCCAGCCACTTTGTGAACGAGGCCTGCGGGGGGCTGGTGTTTGGTGGGTGTGTGGAGAAGTCACCTGTCAGCCGCAACCCTGAGGTGCCCTTTGAGAGCAGTGCCTACCGCATCTCAGCCTCGGCCCGTGGCAAGGAGCTGCGCCTGACACTGAGCCCCCTGCCTGGTGCCCGGCCCCCACGGGAGCCACTGGCCCTCGTCTTCCGCTTTGGCATGTCCGGCTCCTTCCAGCTGGCGCCCAGTGATGCACTGCCACCGCATGCCCATCTGCGCTTTTACACAGCTCCACCTGGTCCCCGACTCGCCCTCTGCTTCGTCGACATCCGCCGCTTCGGCCACTGGGACCTCGGGGGCGAGTGGCAGCCAGGCCGCGGGCCGTGTGTCTTGCTGGAGTACGAGCAGTTCAGGTAGGGCCAGCACCAGCTGTGATGAACACAGTCCTGGGCTCCGGGCCTGGCTCTGTTCATGCCTCTGATGGCCAATGAGGGGCGAGTCCCAGCCCCTTCTGGGCCTCAGTCCCTTCATCTCAGTCCCTTGGACAGTGGACCAAGACACTGTCCTTTCCTGGGGACAGCTCCCTGAGCTAACGGATGTGGAAACTCAAAACTGATGTGGGAGGGGCTGGGGGCAAGAGGTGGATGGGTAGGCCTGCCTCGAGGACGTGGCTGTTAGTGTCAGAGCTGGGCTCAGATCAGTATCTCACACTGCTCCTTGGTGCCTTCAGCAGGCTAAGAAGAAAGGTGGAGGAGCTTTAACAACATGATAAGGAGGGAGGCTGAGCAGGAAGGAATTGCTTCAAGGGGGTGGAGAGAGGACTACCTAAGGACAAGGTTTCTGAATCAGGTTTTGTGGTCTCCTACATTCTGCCTGCCCACTGGTCTGTGTCCCGTGGTCTCCTCTGTGACTGTCTCCTGCTTGTGGGAGGGGTAACAGCCCCACCTGGGATGTGACGCAGGTCACATAAGATGGCAGTGTCAGCCACTTCCCTTCCTCTAAAGAGGGAACGTGTCTGAGCCTCTGCTTCGTGCCAGGCCCCATTCTAGGTGTTGGGGTACAGCAGCAATCGAGGTGGATGTGGTCCCTGCTCCCACAGAGCTCAAGCTCAGGTAGGGCAGGAGGAACAAGGACACAGACTAGATGCATTCACATAGACACCTGCCTGAAGGAAATCCAAGAGGCAGAGGATGACTTTTGGCCGGGGAGTGGTGGGACATCAGGGAAGGCCCCTCGAGGAGGTGGCGTTGGAGCTGAGGCCTGCCTGATGGGGAGGAGCCAGCCATGCAGGGCTCTAGAGGAAAAGCATTCTAACTGACAAGAGTCGCAAACGCAAAGGCCTGAGTGGACTTGGCAAACCTGCCCTTCCTTGGGGACCGCGCGCCTTCGGTGGGCCTGTAGGAGACTTGGCTGCATGTTGGGGTGGGTCAGGGCGTTGAGGGCAGCTGACTCCTGGCCTTCCCAGGTGTGACCCAAGTGCACGCCCAGGGGAACGTCTGTGTCTGCCGCGGTCCTGGATTCCTCCACCTCACCGCTCCCGAGGAGTCGTACCACAACTCAACTCTTTGCCAGTGGGCTCTGAGGTTTCTCTCACGTGACGAGCGTTTCAATGTTTTCTTGGTCCTCCAGCTGGGAAGGCTATAGGCCACCAGGCTAATCTTCCACTCTTGACCCCAGAACTCTTCTTCTGGCCCTATTTCACATGCTCCTCAGGCCCATCACTGAGTCAGTCTTGCTGTGACCATTTTCCACAAAGAACCAAGATGCATTTCCTCTTCATGGTGGGGAGGAGACCCATGACCCTTTGAGTGGGGTGGGGCTGCTGGGGCACTCACCAGCCAGGACTTGCCCCTGCGCACCTGCTGCACAGAGCCAGTACCAGCCTCCTCGAAGATCTTCAGGGTCTTGAGAGGAGTTGACCCCGCCAATGTCAAATCCTCACATCTAACCAACCAGAAGTCCTGGGCATGGAGTTCCAGACTGCGGGCACACCTGAGGACCTGTGACCACCTTGTTCTCAAAAATATCTTGAGTCTGAGGCACTTTGGTGATAGATACACAACATGTAGACTCATGTGCGTGCCCTTGAACACAATGCTGTTGATTGGAATTTTTCACCTTTCGTAATGAATTAAAATTCCATATTGTTGTTCCCATTTAACAGATAGGAACACTGAGGTTCCTGCTGCCAAAATAGCACTGAGGCTGGGAAATGGGGAACTGGGACTACCAGTTTCCTTCCTTTTGAACCTAGGAACAGGTTCCCCCCATCCCATGCAAGGTGGGGGACAGGGGGTGGGCAGAATGGGTCTCATGTGCCCCATGGCTGTGTCCCTACAGGGAGAATGTGTTACGAAACCTAGCCAACAAGGCCTTTGACCGGCCCATCTGCGAGGCCCTCTTAGACCAGAGGTTCTTCAATGGCATTGGCAACTATCTGCGGGCAGAGATTCTGTACCGGTCAGCAGGCAGGCCAAGGGCCCAAGGGCTGGGGTGGGCTGGGTGCGCCCAAATTCCCCACTGCTTAGCATGGCTCCCCCCACCCCACTGCAGGCTGAGGATACCGCCCTTCGAGAAGGCCCGCACGGTTCTGGAAGCACTGCAGCAGCGCAGGCCGGTGAGGGTGCAGGGAGGGATGTGCACACACCTGTCGCTGCAGGCCAACAAGTGGATGGGCTGGGCCAGGTCTCTCCAGCTTAGCTCAAGCAGGTCCTTTCTGGGCTTCAGGCCTCCGTTTCCCTTTCTCTACAATACTGTATATGTGTGTGCGGGGGGCGGGGGGGGTGGTGCAGATAAACCGTCTCTGAGTCCTGCCAGGCTCAGAGGGGGTCTGCTCCCTGGAGGGTCAGCTGCCTCTGGGTGACCCTGCCTCATGCTGACAGCCAGGTCCTGCCCCTGCCCCTTCTCCAGAGCCCAGAGCTGACCCTGAGCCAGAAGATCAGGGCCAAGCTGCAGAACCCGGACCTGCTGGAGCTGTGCCACTCGGTGCCCAAGGAAGTGGTCCAGCTGGGTGAGGCCCGCGAGGCAAAGATGGCCAACTGCCTCTGCTTCAGCATGTTGTGTAACCCTGGGACAGTTGCTGCCCCTCTCTGGTCCTAGTTTCCTGCCTAGTGAATGAAGTTTGTAGACCTAGTTGTTGCTAAATGGACTAGGCCTCCTCACTTGTCAGGTGTGTATGTTCTCCAAGCTACCCAAGAGGCAGGCAGGGCAAGGATTCTTAACTCTGCTCTAGATAGGAAAGCCATGGCCCAGAGTGGGGAAGACACCAACCTGAGGTCACACAGCTGGAGAAGGGAGAGCCTTGGCCCCCTGACTCAGTCCATCAGCTTGTACAGCTGAGGTCTGGGCCAGGTCTGACCAGGCTCCCCCTCCTCTCAGCCTGAGTCCGCCCTCTGATCTCCGCCTGGTTCCTCTGTCCCACAGGGGGCAAAGGCTACGGGCCGGAGAGCGGGGAGGAGGACTTTGCTGCCTTTCAAGCCTGGCTGCGGTGCTATGGCATGCCGGGCATGAGCTCCCTCCAGGACCGGCATGGCCGTACCATCTGGTTCCAGGTTTGGGCCCTAATGCTCACACAGGGTGGAGAGACCTGGGTCACAGGAGAGCAGGAGCTGGGGACACTCAGGGCCCATCTAGGCCCCCAAGGGTCACACTGTCCCTGAGGTCTAGGCCTTCCCTATGCTACCCCTCGCCTCCTGAGTCCCAGGGTTCCAGGGTTCCAGCTATTGGAGCAGCCCACGGCAGGGTGGCCTGTTGATGTTGGCTCTGGCCTGGCAGGGGGTGGGGCAGTCAGAGAGGCTTCCTAGGGGAGGAGCTACACTGATCTGGAAGGACAGGTGTGAGTTCTGCCTCTCCAAGGAAAACTACCCTGCCCCAACCAGGCTGATTCCAGAATTCTCCTCATTCCATTTTAGGGGGATCCTGGACCTCTGGCACCCAAAGGTAAGCTGCTCTTAATGTAATAAGCTAAGAGAGCCGAAAGGACTAGCTGCCTGCAAGGGCTACAGCACCCTTCTCCATCCCAGTCCCCACTCCAACCCCGGAGTCACCAAGAGTGGGAGAGTGGGAGTCTGGAGAAAGGGGGCCGAGGCCGTAGGGCCCTGTACCCCAGTGTCAGTGTCCTGCAGGGGGCAAGTCCCGCAAGAAGAAATCCAAGGGAGCGCAGCAGGGTCCTGAGGACAGAACGGCGGTATGGCTCCCTGCTCCCCCTCCTCCCTGCACTGTTCCTCCCTGGCTGTACATCCCAGGCCAGGCTTTTGGGCAGCTGCCTTCCATTGACAATGGGGGGCAATGGTGGGTCCTAACCAACCTCTGAACTGCTCTCTGAGTCCTTCACGGACCTGTCTCTCCTCCACCCAGGACCCTCCACCCCCAAGCAAGGCCCCTTCCAGGACACGAAGGGCACGGAGAGGCCTTCCTGAGCAAACTAAAGCCCAGCAGCCCAAGGCGACTAGCCTCCAACAGGACCCAGAAGCGCCCCCAGTCTCTGAGAAAGGGAAGAGGAAAGGGCGACCGGCAACCTCAGGTGGGCCTTCCTCAGCATCCTCTGGGGAGGGAAGGGGTATCACTGAAATGGGCTCTCCAGGAGAGGAAGGGACAGCAGTGCAGGTGGGAGGAACGTGTGGAGAAAGGCGGGAGGGAGGCTGTCTGGGCAGTCCTTAGCCTGGGGTCTGAGCTGCCACCTCACTTGTCCTCCTCCCAGGCCGCCGCAGACGCCAGAAGACCAAGGCTGACACCCCATCCTTGGAGCCTGAAAGGACCTCAGCCTCTTAGCAGGAGGGTCTCTTTGCTTGCATCCACCCTTCCTGCTTCCTTGCCCTGGATCTGGGGGCCTGTGTGCCTTCCTAGAAGCAGGCAGTGGTTGAAGGGGGCTGGATGACCCTGGCCTTGTGGCTGTTCCCTGCACAACTATGATGTTTTTAATAGTACCCCACCTTCCCCATTTTTTAAGCTGATGTGAAAAATGCTGTATTTTTTATAAACTGATAAACTTGAACTTCTTGGCACTTCTTGGGCTGGCTTCAGAAAAGGTCTGGGATGGCCAAGTTGGGAGGGCCACCTCCTCAGCAAGACAAACTGAGCCCCACCGCAGTCCTCAAGGCCCTGGCTCTCAGAGGACCATCTGTCTCTGCAGGGACAGCCCCACACAGAGGTGGTGCAGAGGCCCTGGCCCCCGCAGCCCAGGCTCCATAGTGCCTGCAGTCCAGGATTCCTCAGGGCCTGTGGCTGCTCCCCCTGCCTGGCCCTGACTAGTCAGTGCTCCTCTCCTAGTGGGGCCCAGCCAGAACCCACCAGTCCCAGGCCTGCTGCCTGCTGACACAGGGGAGGAGCTTCTTATCTCAAGGTCTCTTAGCCTGCTTGTGGTCACCAGTATCCCCCATCTCTCTCATGGGGGCTGCAACCCGGACCCTGCACACACACATAACCTTAGATCTTGGCCCTGACCCCAAATGCCTGGGAAAAAGCCTTCTGCCCTCAAAGCCTGAGGGTGGGCCCTGAGGGGAGCGAGCATGGGCTACCAGCAGCGTTCCTGAGCCAAGGATTTATTGTTCAAGAGGTGACATCCTTGCTTCAGGCTGGGGAAGCAGAAATGAGGAGCCCCCAAAGCCTTCCACAAACAAAGCCCCGCCCTCAGGGACTCAGTCCGGTGGGGGCTGCAGCACGAGCAACAGGGACCGCACTTGGAAGGGAGAAAAGGTGAGCTTCAGGCGGGCGTCCTGAAGGGGCAGGTGGCCAGCAGGGTCGCGCCGCTCCAGGAGGTCGCAGCTGGAGAACAGGCGGAGCCATGAGGGCCCCGCGAGCGCAGGACTCCCACTCCCACCCCACACCGCGCCCTACTCACAGGACGGCCTCCTGAACGGGCAGCGACGTGTGCAGCCAGCAGTCGACGTGGCCGCCGTGGGCCTCGTACAGCCTCAGGACCAGCGTACGGCCCTGGGGGCTGGTCTCAGCCTGCGGAGGGAGGCGGGCGGTGGGCGGGGCAACGGGTGGGCCCAGCCCGGGATCCCGCCCCCGGCGTGCCCCGCCCCTTGCCTGCTTGACCGTCTCCAGCACCACCGCGGGCGAGGACACCGAGAAGGCGCTCCAGGAGGCGGCGGGCGCAGGGCCCGGGGCGGGCAGCGCCAGCAGGGGGAAGTTGAGGCTGTAGGCAGCACGGATAACGCCAGCATCCTGGAAGGAGCCTGGGCGCGGACCACAAAGGGATGCGTTGTGGAAAATGGGAGTGGGGGGCGCGGGGCTGCCGCAGTTCTCCCCACTAACTGTTGGAAACCGAGGCTCAGAGGGCAGAGGCGTCGGGGCGCGGTACTCACCCTCGTGCGGCATCAGCGCGTAGGTGAACTCGTGGCGCCCCATGTCAGCAGTGGCATCGGGGGCCTTAGGCGCTCGCAAGCTGGGGTGGGGAGAGTGGTATGGGCGGGGTTGAAGCTGCTGGAGTTGTGACCCAGGAAGACCCTCGCCCCCTGCCAGCCCCAGGCCCGGCGGGCACCCCACTCACAGGGAGAGGCTGAGGACGCTGCCTCGCACCGACGCGCCGTACTTGGAGTCGTTCAGCAGGGCCAGCCCGAAGCCGTGCTCCGACAGATCCATCCAGCGGTGAGCCCACACCTGCAGGGCAGAGCCAGACCCCTCGGTGGCCCTGCCTCCTCCCAGTGCTCCAGAGCTCCTGCCACTAGAGTGAGGGCAAGCTCTGGGACCACAGGGTTGAACTCCAGCTCTCAGGATAGGAGGCCCTGGGCACACAATCCAATCCGTCTCAGCCCCAGTTCCTCACTGTGAAATGGGGATCCAGTACTTACCCCACCAGCTGGGCCTGAGTATCAAACTAAACAAAGCATTTAGCACAATGCCTGGCATATGTTTGGAACCAGCAAATATTGATCCTCCTCCTCCTCCTCCACCTCACCCCATACCACCAATCAGTCTCCTCCAGCCAGGGAGGATCCAAACCCCCTACCCAGCCCCATGTCAGACCTCAAATCGAGCCCAGTCCCAAGAGGTGTTGTAGTGGGTGGGCCGCTGCAGATGCCCGAACTGGACCTCATAGGTGGCCTGGGGGCTCCGCACGCGGGCAGGGAACTCCACCTTCAGGAACTTGTGGGCCTCGTGCCAGTGCACCTGGGTGGAGGTGGGGGGTGAGGGGAGGGACAGACACACACAGGCCTGGGGCTGGCCCCTCCTCACCAACCACACCTGGGGAAGATACCCACCACTCTACCCCCTGCTACCTCGGTGTGGAAGCGGACATAGGGGCAGCCAACATCCAGCACGACCTCCTGGCTGAGCCGACTGTTGGCGCTGATCTGTAGCAGGAACCAGGCGCTGCCCCGCATGCCGCCCTCAGTGCCCACCGCCAAGGTCCCTGCCTGGCCCAGCACTGGCTTCCTGCGGGATAGAAGTGGGAGGGGCTGAGCCAGGGCAGGCTGGTGGAGGGGGCCCAATAGACCTGTATTCCCACTGCCCCACCAAGTCCTGCCCACCCGCACCGTGTCTCTAGGTGGTAGTCCATGACATCCCACGCGTCCCAGTACAGGGGAACATCATCAAACAGCACAAACTGGTTCCCCACGGCGCCCTCAGCAATGGCCTCCCTGGAAGGACACGGGGATTGGTGCTTTACAACTCGATGACCTTGATCTCTCCAGCTGCGCAAGGTGGGGTGGGGCAGGGTGAGTAGGCCCAGGGAACAGGGACTCCTAGCCCAGCCTGCCCTGTTCCATTAGTGGGTCCCAGCCCAGAGCCACAGTGGGCTCCTATGGGCAGTGCTGTGGCCAGGGGACAAGGGAACAGGGTCTGGGATCCACGGGAGAGGGCAGGGATGGGAGAGGGCAATGAGGGGTTGGCACCTGCCAGAGGCCACCAGCACCAGGGATGTCAGGCAGCCAGTCGGGTCCAGCCTCACCCGGATGATGCCGTTGTCCAGAGTCACAGAACCATCAGTCTTGGTGGGAGGGGGCCTTGAACGTGAGTCTGCAGGGTCTTCCCACAACCAACAGCACCCCACCCCAGCCCCGGCCCTGCCTCACCACTTGCTCCAGGCTGGGGAGCTCAGAACTCCCATGTTGTTAAGGATGGCCCAGGATAGCCCCCACCCCACGAGACGTGCCAGGGCTCACCTCTTGCACCACGAACACAGGCTGCTGGGGCAGCACGGGCTGCAGTGAGGTGGGGGCAGGAGCAGGAGCATAGCCAATGCTGGGCACAGTCACCAGGGCTGGGGATGAGGCCTGGACATCAGTGCAGGCTCCCTGACCTTCCAGGAGCCTCGCTTGGGTGGTGGGGGCATTGGGGGTGGATACTACTACTGCTACTATCCAGCCTGGGGCACCCCAGGACAGAGATCCCCAGGGGAGTGTCTCCACCTCTCGGTCTGGCCTTGATCCCTCCTGCTGCAGTGGCAGCCCTTCTCCCAGCTCATACCTAGGCTGTGGGCTCCGCCAGGCCTGGGCAGGGCCAACACTTCAGTGCGCTTCCAGGGCAGCGTGTTGACAATGAGGAGGCCCTCGGGACCTGGCTCCCCAGCACACAGGGCTGCGGCTGCAGCGCTGAGCAGTGTGTTGCCATGGGAACGGATGTCTGAGGAAAGACTGGTTGCTCATGGGTGGGCAAGTGGTCTGGGATGACCCCTGAGTCCCCCACAGGGGACACTCTGGGCTCAGCCCTGGGTGTTGTAGAGAGCTGCGGGAATGCTGTCAGCCTAACCTTCGTAGTGGCACATGGCTTCCTCTGCCACCAGCTGGATGCAGCTTCCAGTCACCACGTCATGGAACTGGTTCAGGAGCAGGAGCCTGCAAGGGCCAAGGGCAGGGATGGGGGAGACAGGGAGGGTGGGACAAATGAACGCTGGGAGGGGCAGGCACAGAGGCGTCTGGGGTGAGGTCAGGTGGGTGGCAGGAGGCAGAAGCCGGGCTGACCTCCAGAGGTCCTGCAGCTGGGCTGCCGGGTAAAGGAATTGGGCACTGCGGGCCAGGGCCAGGCTGCTGAGCAGTTCCACATCGTGCAGGATCCGCTCACACTCCCGGTTCCCCTTCTTGATCTGAGTCCAGGGTGGGGGGATCAGTCTAGAGTCTGCTCAAGTGTCCCAGGACACACACCTTCAGAGCCCTCCCTGCCTCAGAACCCCTGATGGCTCCCCCAGGGCTGCCTGGATAAAGCCTCTTGTGAGTGACCTGTCCCAAATACCTCCCTCCTCTCCCCTCACTCCGAGCCCCTCCTCCTTCAGGGATCCTCAGTCCTGCCTTCTCCAGGCCCCTGATCCACCCAGCTCTCGCACTTCTCTCCTCTCAGCTCCTACTTGGAACACGAGCCTCTTCCCCCAGGTCTGGGCAGGCTCTGACCCCTGCTGCCTTCTCTGATCCTCTGCAGATCAAGGGCACCCTCCCTGCTCGGCTGGACAACCAGCTCCTGACCTGGGCGTGGGTGGTGTAGGTGCCGTTGTGCAGCTCCAGGAAGAGCTCCCCGACCCACGTGCACAGCTGCCCCGAGTCGCTCTCCAGCGCTGAGAAGAGTCGCCCAGGAGAAGACAGCTGCACCCTGAGGGAGACCACCGCCTGGGTCTCCCAGCCTTGGGGGGCCGTACGGCTCACCTTTCCTCCAGGCCAGAGCAGACAAGAGATCCAGCCATGACAGAAAGGAGCCACCTCAGAAAGCTCCTTGTCCACACAAAGCCAGTTCTGGACAACCTAGGAGAGTTCTCTCTCTGCTGGGTGTAAGGCCCTTCCCACCCACAGCTTTTCCCCCACCCCACCCCCAAGGTAGAAGTTGGGAGGAGCCAAAGATTGGAGCAGAGCAAGGCCCAGTGGAGGGGCTGGGCCCAGTGTTTGAGCAGAAAGAAGGGCTCAAGGCAAGGGCTGAGTGAGCACTGAGGGCTGCTGGCGGCCCAGGCCTGACCTGGGCAGCCCATCTGTGTTGCGCAGCCGCTTCAAGCGGTCCACCATGCTCTGGGTGGGGCCGCCACCACCATCCCCAAAGCCGAAGAGAAAAGCACTGTGGTTAGTCCGTCCCTTGTCCCGGTTTTTGGCCACGGTCTTCAGCACCTGGACAGGCAGGGGGAGGTCAGCATGGGTCAGCCTATGACGGGATACCCAGGCTCTCCAGCCTCCCCCCCACCTCAGCCCCTAGGTAGCCTCTCACCTCTTCCACACTGCCCTGCATTCCATATGAGTCACCGGGTGGGAAGTGGGCTAGCACACGAGAGCCATCCAGCCCCTCCCAGAAAAAGGTATGGTGCTGCAGTCAGGGAGACAGGGCCAGAGAGAGAGGCCAGAGTCAGGGCTGAGGTAGAGCTCGGCCTTCCAGACCTGCCCCAGCCTGTGTGACCCCAGGGGAGGCATGCCCTCTCTGAGTGGAGGTTGGGTGGTCTGCCCAGGACGCCACAATAAGCCTGGGGAGAGATGAATGGGCCAGGTGGGGACCCAGGCCCACTATGACCCTGAGCCCCTGGGGCCTGCTTACCGGGAAGGAGTTCACCAAGTTCCAGCTCAGTTTTTGGGTCAGGAAGTGCCTGATGCCACAGCTGCGCATGATCTGGGGGAGCTGTGCTGAGTAGCCAAACGTGTCGGGCAGCCAGAACTGCGGGGAGAAGGGCCTGTGGGCACGGGAACCAGGGCTCTTGGTGGGGCAGCCCCAGCCTCAGCCCTCGTCACTCAGGTCAAGCTCAGCCCCGTCTGCCGACAAGCGCGGCAGCTCCCAGCCTACCTCGGAGCACATTTTCCCAAACTCCTGCCGGAAGAAGTTCTGGCCCTGCAGGAACTGCCTCACCATGGCCTCTCCACTGGGAAGGTTCCCATCCTGGCAGTAAGGGAGGAGAGAAGCAGCCGGGGTCAGCACCAGACGGGGAACAGGCAGGAGCTCAGTCCCACCCCACCCCCTCAGGAGAAGCCAGAAGCCTGACACAGGGGTTACCGCCAGCGCCCAGGCAGTATCCATCTGTCTGTCTGCCGGAGGGGAGGTTCCCGGGTCTGGGTCATGTAGACAGCCTGTCACACGCTTGAGACCCTCCTCCCCCCTTGGCATCCCAGGCCTTGGGATTCCAGGGACTAATGAGGGCTGCCACAAAGCGGAGGTGAAGGGCCTGCAGAAAGTCGCCAGCAAAGCGGAGGAAGGAAGGCCATGACAGTATGGCCTGAGGCTGAGGGGTGCAGACTGCACTTACCATCTCCACCCAAGTGCCCCCCACGGGCACAAACTGCCCACGGCAGGCAAACTCCTGGAGCCGGGCATGCAGGCCAGGGTAGAGGCTCTTCACCCACTCGAGCTGCTGTGCCTGTGGGCAGGTGGGGCGGGAGCTGGGCCAGGAGCCATGAGGACCCCACCCAGGGCCGAGTATCTGGGGCCCAGTAGGCAGCTAGGGTAGGGAAGAGCCCTGACTCTCTGGCCTGAGAAGCCCTCGGAACCTCACCCTCAGACCCATTGGGCTTCAGGTGCCCCCACACACTGTCCCTCTGACCTGGGAGCAGACAAAGATGAACTCAGGGTTCTGCTCCATGAGCTGCACGGCTGTCACCCAGCTCCGCGCACATTTCCGCACAGTCTCCTTGAAGGGCCAAAGCCAGGCTAGACGGGGAACGGGGTGGAGGGAGAGGGTGGAGGGTGAGCAGCAAGGTCCCCAGCTCCTCAAAGATCTCCAGCCTCACCCCTGCCTCCCGGCACCCTGACCAGGCCAAGCCTGGGCCTCCAGAGGGTCATCCCAGCCCTCCTCCCATCCCAGGCCCTTTTCCCTGAGGCATCCCTCCGGAGCTGTCACTTCAAATCATCCTGCAAGGTGGGAGTGATGGGGGGAGGAGGCCCACAGGGCTATCAGGTCAATTTTAAGGTCAGGAGATAGAGGCCCTAGGCCCTGGAATAGCCTCACCCTGAAGTTTAGAGAGCCCCAGAGAGGATCCTGTAAGAGGCAGCAGGGGTTAACCCTTCCCCTGCACACGGTGGATAGCCCAGAACAGAGGGCACGGCTGCCTGGGATGGGCCTGCCTGGGCCAGCCATCCTGTGTGAGGCGTGACAGCCTCTCCTGACCTCTGGGCCTCAGTCCCTTCCTTACCAGCCTGGAATCCCCCCTTTCCCCACCCTCACACCCCGTGGCTCAGAAACTTTAGCTGCATCAGACTCAATACCTTGGGGAGCTTGTTAAAAATGTGGATTTCCCATAAGCCTCACAAACACTGCAACTCATCAGGTTCAATTCTGATCTCCTGATCTTCCCTAGGAAACCTCCCCCTGTGCTTGAGCCCCCACCCATCTCAGTTACTCCCACGTCACTCCTCTCTGAGGACTTGGGCACCCTTGTCAAACTCTTCCTCATTCTCACTCAGTTCAAAGGTCACCTCCTCCACGAAGCCTCTCTTGAATCCCCCTGACCCAGCAGGGTTAAAGCACCTCTTCTGGGCTCCCCAGACCCCTAGGCTTCCCTCCATTGTGGCACCAACTGTGCTTGCCTATTCAGTGATCATCAGTCTCTACAATCCTACCCCCTAGTATCTAGCTTGGGGCCACAAGGGGCATCAGATTATTTATTTTTTTTGCTGAGGAAGATTCTCCCAGAGCTAACATCTGTTGCCAATCTTCCTCTTTTTTTGTACGTGAGCCACCACCACAGCATGGCCACTGACAGATGAGTGGTGTAGGTCTGCGCCCAGGAACCAAACCCAGGCTGCCAAAGCAGAGCACATTGAACTTAACCACTAGGCCACCAGGGCTGGCCCTGGGGCATCAGATTTTGTTGAAAGAATAAATGAAGCCACACCTAGCAAAGCCCACAGTCCAGTCCTCTTGCCCCATTTTACAGATGGGGAAAATTGAGGTCCAAGAGGGGCAAGAACTTGCTAAGGAGCACGCAGTGCTTCCAGGGCACAGCCAGGCCTTCAAGGGCACTCCTGCCTCCCCAAGCCAACCCGGCCAGCTGCTGCCCTACCTGTATCAATGTGGCAGTGCCCCATGGCATGGATGGTATGTTGGCTTTCACCTCCGCATTGGCCAAAGAACTTGGAGGCCAGGGCCTGAGCCACTGGGAAGGTCTCGGGCTGGGCAGGGTCACACATGTTCACGATCTGGTTGGCTGTGTACAGGGCCTGGAAGCTGCGCTGGTTGTCCTCCCCGAGGCCCTGCAGCAGGGTTCTGCCCCTTAATCCCTGTCTCGAGCAAGCAGAGTCTACAAAACTGGCCGATCTCCCAAGGGTTCTCAGCAGAGCTCCTCCCTACCTCCAACCTCTTGCTCCTGCTGGTCCCCCTGCTCAGCACTGTCTACCTCCTCCCCTTTACATAGGGAAATCCTCTCAACACTCAGGCAGGCAGAACCACTCTCCCTATTCTGGATTCCCAGATTCCCAACTATCTGACCCAATAAACAATCTTTCTGGAGCAGGGCTCTGGAGAGTGACCGGGTGGGGTAGGGTTGTCAAATACCTTGGCCATGCCCAGCAGTAGCTCCAGATCCACCAAGAGCTTGTGGACATCTCGGTGGAACACGGCCAGCTCAGCCCGGCTCACCTGGAACATCTTCTCTGGGTCAGGGGCTGCGATCATGGTTCCCTTCCCGGCCCCCAGGAGCCCATTGCAGGCTACTTCCACATACAGGGTCAGGCTACAAACGTGGGGAGGCAGCCTCAGGTCAAGGGACTGGCAGAGGACTCTGGGGGCTTGGGGAGGGAGGACCAAGGAGGATCATCTAGCTGACGCCTCCCCATTCGTCTCCAGGATCCACCACCCAGAGGATCCCACCACGCGCATTTGCGAGAGGGTCACGGTAGAAACACCAGACGGAAGCCACGTTCTATGGATGAGCGTTCTGCCTCGGCTGGGGAGAATAAGTAGCCAAGTTTGGAACCGTGTGAATTATGCTGCTATTTAGCCTTTTATTCCAAAGCTGTCTTGACAAAGCACTGCCCTGGTCTCAGAGCCCTCTTTACATATTATAAACATGTTTGGATCTCCCAGATCCCATCTTTCAGAGCAAAGATCCATCAGCCAACAGCAATGGGCCACTCCTGGGAGCAGCTTGGTGGGCTGTGTGCTCTTCCCCTCAGTCTTCAGAGAGCAAACACCGCTTCCTTGCGGAGCCTTCCCTGACCCTCCTCCCACCCTTCTCCCAAGTATGGACCAGATTTCTCATATTGAGCTCCCAGTGTTTTCTTTCAGAGCCCTCATCAGTTTTGTAATTATATAGGTAGATATGAGTCTCCCTTGCTGTCAAAGACCACATTACTCACCATCACAGTCCCCATGTCTGGAAGCACTGGACACACAGTGTTCAATAAATATTATAAAATAAAATAACGTCTAAGAAGAGTTTTTAACGGTGTCATAAAATGCCCATGTCATAATATGGAATGAAAAAAATTAGGATGCGAAATAGCAAAGAAATACAATCTCAACTAGTAAACACTACACCTGAAAGAATTCCTGAGATGAATGATGAGATGTTAATAACAGTCATCTCTAGGTGGTGGGATAATGGGAGTTATTTACCTCTTTGTGCTTTTCTGTATTTACCACAAGAAGGCAAACATTGTTATAGTCAGGAAAAAAAATCCTGCTTTTTGAAAACAAACTATGGGATTTGAGGATGGCTGTGTTGAAGGTGGGTTTCTGAGATCACTCTGGGCCTCAGCTCCTCCTCCTCCACTGGCGCCCCCACCGCCACAGCACTGGTCACCCAGGGCACAGGGACTCACTCACCTCCGGGGGTCTCCTTCCCCCAGCCTGTCAGTCAGGATGTAGCTGGTCTTCTCCCCCTCTTTGGTCAAACCCTGGTGGCGAGTGGAGTGAAAAACACAAGGCCTGAGGCTTTTGGACAGTTCAGGAGAAGCACAAGCTAAGGGAGGCTTATACGCGGGGTCTCCAGCTCTGGCTCTTCTCAGGCAAGGCCGGGATTGACAAATCAGGGAACCATGGAAGCAGGTGCCCCAACCCTGGCAGCCAGCACCACGACCACCAAATGGTACCTGTTTACCATCAGAAAAGCCCCTGGCCTTATGGGAAGGGTCTTAGGCAGGCACCAGGGGACGTGGGCGTGGCTTCTGGTCACCTCTGTACCCCTGAATAACTATCTGAAGGGAAACTCTATGAAGTCAGGGACAGGTTTGCCCCATTCTCTGCTGTATCCCCAGTGCTCAGCACAGGGCCTGGCCCAGAGAAGGCACTCAGGATACATCTGCTGAGCCAACGGAGGGAGGGAGGGGTTTGCCATCTGTCCGTACGGGAAGAACGGTCCTAACCTGCAACAGTGAGTTAGTCCAATTGGAATGGAAGCTGTGTAAACCTGAGCAACGGAACTATATATCTCTATATATCTCAGTTTCTTAATCTGTAAATGGGCATAAAGACTCACCACACAGGATTAAAAAGATTAAATGTGATATGGTTGGACACATAAACAAGACACTTAATAGTGGTTATACCTGGGGAATTGGGGTTGGGATGGTAGGGAGAGATCCATTCCTTCAGGGGAAGAGGACTTAAATTTTTACTTTATACTATCTAGAACTGTGTCAAAGTTTCCCCTTATAAGCATATATTTCATATAATAAAAAGTAGTTTATTAAAAAATTTAAAAAGTGATATGGTCTGCAAAGCCACTAGTCTGGCACCTGGCACCTAATAGAGAGTTAATACGTGCATCTGTTGTACTTAATATTATTATATTTGATTACTAACTATTTTCAGCCCAGAATGGGAAGGTGGTCAGTCAGTGGCAGGGTTGGTTTAGCACAAATTACGCTGAGACCCATCAGCCATCCTTTCAACTTCCCAGTATGAGAGGGACCAATTACACAGGGGCCCCAGTGGCAACTTCCCCAGTTCCTGAAATCTGGATACCACTCTGCAGGCAGAGCCACTCAGCTGTGGCTTCTCCAGAGACCAGGGCTGAAATGCGGCCATAACTGTCTGTCCCTAGGGCAGGGCTGCTCACCTGGACAGGTTCCCCATCGCGCCACACCAGGCCTTCTCCATCGCTTTCCCAGCGAAGGTGAACTTCCTGGCCCACCCACGCCTCCGGGATGGTCAGCTCCACTCGGAACCAACAGGTCCACCATCTGCAAGAGAGCCACTCAGATGGGCCTAGGGATCGAAGCCCTGTCCTTTCGACATATTTCCTTGGATGAAGGGTCAGCAGGGGCTTGAGACTCTCCAAGCATCTGCAGCATCACAAGGTAGTCAGCTTTGATGCACAAGAAAGCAGCAACGCGGTGTCCAGCAAGAAAGGAAAGGAGGCAGAGGAGTCAGGGGTCCGTGCCCCGTCCTCGAGTGCCCTTCCTAAGAGGGGTCCAGGGTCTGGGAGAAGGGGGGAACTGAAAACTCCCACGAAGACCGAGGGACCAGGGAGCTGTTCCCAGCAGAGGGTGCTGCTCTGCCCCAAGTGGCTGCCGAGGGCAGAGGGCCGACACTGGAGGTGTGGCCCTTGGAGGAGGGGAGCAAGCCCGGAGGGGAACTCTCCCTTGGCCCGGGGCCCCGCCCCGCTCTGGGCGTTACCCACGTGGGTCCGAAGCTGTCGCCGACCTGCGCGGGGCGGAAGTCCTGCTGGACCGCCTCCTGGTAGGGAAGCCTCTCGGGAGTCAGGAAGCTGGAGAGCGCGGCCAGCGGGCAGCTGTCCCCGAAGAGCCTGGGCGGGAGGGGCCGGTGGGCGCGCGCTCGAAGCCGCTCCCTTCCCGCCCCGGGGCCAGCCGGCGGGTGGGGACGCGCTTTCCCGCGATCCACCGCCGAGAGGGCTGCCCCCCAGCACAGCCTCCCCCAACCCCTCCTCCCGGGCCCCTGCCCTGTCCGCCGCGGGCACTTTGTCCCTCGGCCCGGGTGGCCGCAGCTTGGGTTTCCGCCCGGAAGGCAAAGCTGAGGCGCGCGGATGCGTCCTGCCGGCGCCCTGGGCGAGGGGGCCACACCTGCCGCGGAGGTTACAGTCGGTAAAGTAGAGCGGCGACACGAATTTCTCCACTCGCTCCAGCGTAGTGCGCCAGTGCTTCAGGGCCGGCGCCGCCGCCATCGCCGCCCGCCCACTCCTCTCCCCGGAAGGCCACGGGCGCTGCCGGCGCGGTCCACGGCCTGGAACCAAAGGTTCCGGCGTCCAGGGCGCCTTCCAGCCCCGGGCAGCTTTTCTTGGAACACCGGCGGCGCTGAAGCCCCGCGGCTGGGAACTTGGAGCAGGAACTGAAAGCCAGAGCCGCGCTGCCGAGGCTGTCCTCGATCCCGGCCGAGCTGGTGGGCCACTGGGCAGATCCCTACATAAAATGGGAAGCTTGCCGCTTAGACTCTCCGAAAGCTCCGGGCCAGAGACAGGGGACTGTTAGGCACGACGGGCGGAAGGCTCGGCTGCTGCAAACGCAGGTCACCCCGCTTGAGAGCCAGCGACGGGAACCCTCGTGCCCTCCAGTCCCAGCCCGACCTCCGGCTCTGGCTGTCTCAAAAAGCCTCTCGCTGCTTAACGTGCGTGGAAAGAGCGCCAGGGACGGGTGCTTTCCAACCGATCGGCGGGCATGGTGTTCAACAGGGAGGGCTCTGCACCCCAGTGACCTCCGCTCCTCTACAATATATTTATGTATGTGGCTGATCGTCGCCCATCACCAGCAAGTCTGGAAAGATTTTGATTCGAGATGGCAGATCACAGCATAGCATTCAAGATCCTAACAGAATAATGTATTTCACCACACAAGACTGAGGAGTTCCGAGAAGCCATGCCAGAAACACCACCAATTTCAGCCTCACATTACCCTAGCAGTCCATTGGCAGCTTTCTTTCCCTCCTAGGATTGCCAGGGAGTCCTTGTCTATGAAATCATTAGGAAGAAAAATAGATACACATTAACCCTGATATTTTAATGGAAATACTGACCAAATCAAGTATACAACATTTCATATGCAGATCACGCAGAAAAGTGACTAAGTACAGAATAACAAACATAAAGATAACTTGCTGCTATGATACAGGCTGGGTTTAGAGCTTGGAGCTCAGATGTCAGAAGGCAGGAGGAATAAAAATGCTGCTTGTGAAAATCTCAGCTGTAGGTGAAGCTCCCCCTTTTTTTGGTTGCACTGGTGGTTGGGTTTTTCTCGTGAACTGGCTCTAAAACCCCATCCTGACCTGCACGCAGGTGCCCTGGACAAAACCCTGTGCAGGTACACCAACAGCTGGGGCCTCCCCTGGTCAGGCCCCATCAACATGCCCCATAAATCCAAGTCAAGATGATCTTTCTTGAGCGAGCAGAGGGCATTAGATGAGTTATCGCTAGGAAAACGTGAAGATGTTTCCCCGCAAACAGTAAGTATCACATTACCCCCAAGCTAGGCACTGCCCCAGCTTCCTCCCAGAATCTCCCCCCACAAGGCTCTTTTGCCACCCTTCACTTTTGGATTCAGAGTCTCCCGGCCCCAAATCTCCCTCGTCCACCCACCCCCACAACAAGAGTCTAAAATCAGAGAAGTCTACCATGTGTTTTGAAAGTCTGGAAGCCAAACAATTTGTGGTTTTTTGGCGGTGGTGATGGTGACTTTTAATTAAAAAGCAAACAAAACCACACAAAATACTGTTGGTTACTTTACAACTAAGACTAGGGTAATGGTTGCTGGAGAAAAATGCACCAGAGTACTGGGAGGGGCTCAGCTGGTCTTTGCTCAGAAAGCCCAGGCTGACTACATATAAAAATCCTAATCACTCATGTTTAAATGTCTGCCAGTTTAAATTTATGTAATTAAAAAAATATATACAGACATTTCATTTGTGGTTGCGAATGAAATGTATCAAATCTTCTCCCTCCCAACCCCATTTATACCACATACCTCATAACACATTTCTTTTAAATCCTGGTTTGGTATTTAAGTTGTTCACCCCCATTTACAAGAAGGGTAAGAAAAAATATAGAGAAATACAAACTACATAGATGGACAACTTAGCCAAATATAGAATATTTCCAAACAGTTGAAATAAGGGGAAAAAACATGTACTAAAAGAATGAAGTATTCTATTTTAAAAATTTGGAATATTTTGATTTGGGACAAGTACAATTGATTGCTAGTTAAAGCAAAATCCTGTTTGTGCTGTGGATGAAGAACTGAAGCCCAAATCCCTGCTTCACAAGAGGTCTTTGGTGAGGACAAGGGACGTGGGTTGAGAGTTTATTCCTTAAGTAAGAACCAAGCTTTATTTATTTACAAAAAAAAAAAAAGTTGGGGCAAGGGGGAAGACAAGTTTTACACAAAAGTACTACAATGGTAACTCCCTTTGGTAAAAAGTGTAATAAATGTCTTGTACATCTGTTCATAGGTACTAAATAAGAAGCCACATAGAACTATGGTACACAAGAAGCTAGAGCAGTTATGCTAGCACATCAAAGCATATTTCTTTTAATAAAAAATTGACAGTATGTACATTATTTACAAAAAAAAAGAACCAAGTTAAAATTGTGTGTGTGTGTCAGAGAGTAAAGCTGGTGGATGGCACTAGGGTAGACTAGTAAAGAAGCAGGTACAAAACAGTTCCACGGGAGCTAAAAAGGACGACTCATTTGAACATGTTGAGGTTGAGAACCAGAGGACAGAGTAAAGGGCAGGCAGCAAGGACTCATCGGGACTCATCAGGAACCACAAGATGTCAATCCCAAAGCCAAACTGCAGGTCCCAGAGAAAACCTAATGGGTGATCATAGATGTGCTCAAATGACCAGGAAAAAAAAAAATCAAATCCAGTTTTTTTTCCTCTTGGGGGGACAGGAGAGGAGCAGTGACCATCAGAGTTACAATCCATCTGAGCATTGAGTCCTTCCCCAGTCTGTCTGTCAATGCACGCCCATCCAGTCAAGGTGTGAACAGCATCTGCTTCCCTCATGGAAGGTCAGGCCCCAGGAGACTCCAGTCCTAGCTCTGCTGGTGTGTGCAAGCAAGCTACATGTCTCTGTGCTTGCATGGATTTCCTTCCCCCTCCAGGGCAGGCTAATACCCAAAACCCTTTGGGAAAAATTCCAGCTCTGGCTTTGTAAGGTAGCCATGTTCCTTATTCGTAGCCCACTTGGTGCCAGGTTGCACCAGCCACACACAGATCAGGTGGCCATGTCCCAGAGAGGCCCAGTGAGGCTTGAAAGGCATCTTCCTTGTTTCTTCAGTGTGTGTGAGTACACGTGGCCCCACACACACACCCCCCTCAAGTTATCTGCTCTGCCTTTGCAGTTATGGGGCTTTGAACACTGTGCCGTATTTGACACGGTACTTGTTAATGCTCACAAAGTGCAGGGTCTCTGTGTCACAGGTGGTGGTACAGGGCACCAGGCCCTCCAGCCCCTCACCCATGAGCCACTTGCTGGTCTCTGCTGCCATTTCACGGGGCACATGCTCCTTGGTCCATTTATCTACCCAGGCCTGGAACCTCTGATGTAGCCGCTTGCTAACACGCTCATGGGACTGCAAAACAAAACAAGGGAAAAAACCATGAACTAGGACCAAAAAAACCTTCAAATACAAAGCCCAATTCTGTCCTAAAGAAGCAGAGGAAAGATGTGGGCTCAACTCGCTGATACCAGTGGTTAGTTTAAAAAAAAAAAAGGGCAATAGGAGACTCTGTTTAAAGAAAAGAATTGAAAGAGGTTAAGAACACAGAGCATGTAAGGAGTTGGAGCCCGTGAGTGCCAACACAGGGTCTCGGCAGGACTAGCCAAGTGCTGCTCAGCATTAGCATGCATTAGTATCACCTGGGGGACTTGATAGAACTACAGACTTCCTTGTTTCCAACAAGGAAAGCAAGCAACCCAGCTGATTCTGTTGTACGGAGTGAGACACAATGAGTTGTGACTGTTGATCATTTCCATCAGCATGGCAATCCACTTCTAAGTAAGACAGCACAAAGCAAAGGGCTTAAAATCCACTCTCCACTCAGGGTATCACACCCACCCACCCCAAACCAGCAGAGTGCCAAGCACAGCAGATCTTCAGTGGAGGTTTACGTTCCTACCTATGCATCCAGTATGTGTTTATCAGTGCCCATGTGCAAGGCAGAGTAGGGGATACAAAGATGAATTCAGCGTTGCCCAGCTCCCCAAATAATCTGCATCAGAGACACGCAGACATACAACATACAGCACCATCCGAGAAGTACATTAACCTGCACACCCAACATCTGCCACTTGAATGTTCTGTAGTCGTTTCAAACGTAACCAGTTCAAAATGGAGTGCTTGATGTGCCCCCCAACCTGATAACCCTTCCTATCAACAGACCCCTAAACTTCCTATTTACTCAAGCAAAACAAAGAAAACCAAAAAGCAAAAACCACCAGGCATCATCCCTGATGTTCTCCTTACTCTTAGCTCCCCACATCTGATCATTACCATATCCTGACAATCCTATCTCCAGTCTGTATAATTCTTACAAGTGCACTGCCACCCTCTTGGTCCAGGTCACCAGCACATCTCACTTGGACAAGAGGAGTCTTTCGAGTGGTCTCTGTCCTTCCAACTTTGTGCCCACACACACCCCCATTCTCCTCACAGCAGTCCAAGCCATCTTGGTCAACAATGTCCCAGTGTACTTCAAACAAAATCCAAACCACGGCTTCTGAGACTAAGTAATGTGGCCTCTGCCCACCCTTCCAACTTCAGGCATCCCACTTTCCCTATGGCTCAAGCCACACTGACGTTTTCAGTTTTCCAAACATGCCAAGTCCTTTCCTCCCTTCTCAGCCTTGCACTTGCTTGTTACCTCGGCCGAGAAAGTACCAACCCCTAATTCTTCACCAGGCTGGGTCCTTGTCATTATTCAGGCCTCAAGTGTCACTTCCTTAGAGAAGTCTTCCTCAACAAAAGCAGGGCCTGCATGCCAGTTACCCTCGATCACTTCACCTAGCTTTTTCCTTGGTGGTGTGTATCACTCTACCTTACATGCTGTACTTCATGGTTGTAGTCCCAGGGCCTGGCACAACACCTGGTGCACCGCTGCACCAGGAAGCTTTCACAATTGAGATAGCATGTGAAAACAGGCAGAATTCACACAAGCAATGCCACTTTGAAATGTAAATGTTGGAAGGAGCTTCAGTAGAAGGTGCCATCAGCTTTTATGGTTTTAATTGTGTCCCCCAAAATTCATATATTGAAGTCCTAACCGCCCAATACCTCAGAATGTGACCTTATTTGGAAATAGGGTCA